ATTTCATCCCTCACACTATGGCATGTACGTCGTTGACCAACTGTAGATTTCTATATGCCCTATGGAGCTGCCAAATGACGAGTTTCTCTTTCCTCTCACCCCAGTAAAGTGGCAAGGCTTTGGTTGCTGATGGTCCACAGCCCGTGTTTTAATGTTAATATACGTCATAACGACTTGCATTTTCAGAATTGGAAATGATTAGTTTTTAGATTTGACTTGACTAATGTTTTAGTGTCCTTCGTGACGGATATTTATCATATACATGTATACTAACTTTGTTCCCGTCACTATATGCCTACAAAATTGCCGGTGTGACGTTAAACTTTAACTCACTCACTCACTCACTCATTCATTCCTCTCAAAACTTTAGGAAACACGACGAAACACAGTACGAGCTGAAAAAACGCAAAATACGTAAAGTCTCTATACTGTTAAATCAGAAAGTATAGTTTCAAGCTTCAATAACAACTTACAGATGGTGTATTTTAAAAGCATATTGTTGAGATACAACAGGTTATATGATTCACGTCCACATTTCGACATCCATACCTTCCCATATTTTTTTTCAAATTTTATTTCAGTACCTTCCCATAATTGAGTTATACAGCAGACAAAATACCTGGATAGTTTAATGACAATAGAGAAGAAACGTCAATAATGTATATGTTCATCCTTAGTTATAGTATTTGTATGTCACATAATATGTCTTGTATTAGTCGGTAGGTGAAATCGATTCCTATAATCAATTAAACTTGCATTGCGATTGTTAATTCCAAGTTAATCAATAGTTACGATATCAATGATACACAATACGTACAAGCAACCTTTAAAAACGCCGGCAGATACTGTCGTCAGACCTGTGATGACCTTTAATAACGAGCTTCTGGAGGTTATACCACAACACAGGTGACTCTGTTGGCTATATTCATTGCTTACAGCTGGTAGATTTTATCGCCCATTGGTATGTAATGCCGTATACAGTGTAAACAATTATTCCTGCGGGCTTCATCCTCGGAAACCGTTCCGTTCGCCTACAAGGACGTCATTTTCCTTTAAACATATTTAATCATTTGCCATAGCTTGCCCATATTTTTAATGGAAATGATATCAGCGAGATGCCACGACATCCTAGTGGGTTCCTAATGTATTGTATGTGTTAGACTAGTGTCCTGTGTATCATGACAAACGCTTATTGTCAAAACAAAATGGGAAATAGTTACGTAAAAACGTACCTTGATAGAATGTCGACACACCCTGTATGTTTCACTCTTCAAATATCAAGTGTCTGGATAAATATGTTGTACCCATTTAGATCTTGTGATCATATTTTCTACGTCAACGCAAGTAACAGGTGAGTCTAACAAACGAGGAAGAGGAAAGACTGGCATCGGTTTCCACTAAGTAGAAACATGTAGCTTAGAGATACTTACACAAATTAAACGTTTAAGATTTCATTATGTTGTGTTTTTTTGCGCTGTTTTAATGTGCGATGGCACTTTCTACTTCAACACGAATATTATGTGAATATAACGAACGAGGAAGAGGAACGATTGGTATCCGTTTCTACAAAAAAGGAAACATACAGCTAAGAGACACTTACACACATAAAGTGTTTATGATTTGTTTCTACGGGTTTTTTTTATAGATAGGCAAACCATCTGTCTTACCACCAGACCCTGCAGGTAACTGAGTGTTGGCTTCCCCCGTGGTTTGCACAAACGTCAGGGGTATATCTAACCTCGATGTAAGAACTTCCAAGTCCTCATGCATGGGTTGCCATTCACTATACACCCAAACGATGCCCTGAGGTGGAAGATCAAGGATCCCTGGTTGAAACACATGCTCCATGAAGGCTTTGACAAACGATGTTTTACCCGACCCTGTAGGGCCTGCAATCAACATGGTAAAGGGATGACGTAACTTGAGTGGGGTGACCATGGCATCCACCAGGTCTGACCCTGTAATTGACATAGTCCCTGATTAACGTCTTAGCACCATGCAAGTTACACCGGAATTGACCACAAGAATCTAAGATCCCTGAAGATATAGACGACCCAACACACGAGCCATCACCGGATCCGTCAACAGAGTCATCTCTGGAGCCGTCACTGGAGTCGTCTCTTGAGCCATCACCGGATCCGTCTGCAGAGTCATCTCTGGAGTCGTCTCTGGAGCTGCCTGCTCTGCTTCAGCTGTGACAGGCATGGGTAGTAGATCATACAGTTGTTGAAGATCTGGAGGTAACTCTTCCTGGACAATCGCTTCATTCAACGCCCCATTGGTGGCATAAGCAGGAGGGGCCACCCCTTCAGGTTCATAGGATTGATAGTAGAACTGATGGCACTCCATCAACTCAGGATTATTTGGCTGAATCTTTGGGGTTGCCGCCTTGGTGGTGTCCTTAGGAGGTGCTGTCTTGGTGGAGACCTTGGTGGGTGCCTCCTTTTTTGGCTTCTTCTGTTTCTTTGGAGAAGCCGTGGCAAGGGTAACCTTGGGAGGTGACGTCTTCTTGGTGGGTGTCTTGGGAGGTACTGTCTTGCTGGAGACTTTGGTGGATGCCTCCTTCTTCGGCTTCTTCTTCTTTGGAGAAGTCTTGGCAGGGGTGTCCTTGGGAGGCATTCTTGTTCGAGGGACGGGCTTTGGCGTCATGTCTGTGACCTCTGGATCTTTGGAGAATAAAGGTAGGGTGCAGGTGTCACGTCGATGATCATAACTGTGTGGGTGAGCCCAGAGTTTCACCTGGAGTTTGTCCAGCAGCTTCATGTACAGTACATCATTGTCCATAGGACGACCATTCCTCAACTTGAACACGATGTGTAACAGCTTGCTGAGGAATGTCTCCCCTGCATTTTCTGCTGCATGCGCATCGGTGATACCACTTAGCAACTCGGGAACAGAACTGTTGGGGTGGCCAGAGAGGGTCCCTGAGTGGCTTCGGTGATACGACATCCAGTAAAAGTCTTCCTCAGTCAACTAACAGAAGCGACCCATCAACCCATACAATGTCTCTCTTTTAGGATGAATACCCGCCAGCTTGAGGATGTTCATTGGTAACTTTCGTTCCATCACACGGATCTGGTCCTGGGGATCCATGTAGGTCGTCTTGTACAACTGGTTTTGAGCCATCATGTTGTTGTTGAGATTGGCGATGTCAGAAGCCAGGTCCTTTACCTGCGAAGCCATGTTGACGAATGAAGAAGGGCGGTAGCGTGGAGATGCCATCTTCAACGGCTGAGCTGGTGCGACTGATGACCCACTCGACTGATCCTGAGTTTGTATAGGCAGCAGCAGCGAGAGCTATGACGTCACTTCAAATTGCGTCACGATCTTGTTGCTTCTGCACAGCGTCTTGCACCGCTTCTCTGAACAGTTCTAAAATTATCTTTCTTCTAGATAAGTTGCGACAACAAAGAGCAGAGTGAACAACATGACTAATAATGACTCGTTCAGAGTCTTTATATACACAGGGTGACGTCACTTGGGTCGTCAATGGATGACGGCACTCATCACGCGTCTCGAGACCCAGTAGTGTCATGGCTTCTGTCTCTGCACATTCCTCCAAAGCTTTGCAGAAGAGGGAGTAAGCTTTGGATCAACGTCTAGGTAATGTACGTAACAGTTCTCTGACACAGTCAAAGGAAGTTTGTGGTTTTTCAATAATTTCAGCCTACATGAAACAGGTTAGGACTTTAAACTCCACCAGTTTGTTGACCGCGGCTTCAACCTGCTTTATAGCTACCACTAGGCCACAACGATTCGTCCTAAGTATATCATGGTGAACGGGTTCCATCATTTTCTTAGACGACAAAACCTGTAGCGTAACGACTCTGACAGAAACTGCTCTTTATATACACAGTGTCGTGATGACGTCACTTGAGTCGTCAATGGATGACGTCAACCATAAAGAGCAACATCAGGGGCTGTACTCGCAAAGTAGAAAGAAAAGAAATACATTGTAGTTAGCAGAGCGTGGTTTTGATCCACGGGCCTCTGGGTTATGAGCGCAGCATAACTCTGCTCTCCCTTCTCTTCCCTTTTGCTACATTGCAATGACGTGACCAAATATCATCCACCAGGTCTGAGCCTAACAGGTACATGTACATTGTAACACATTTAATTTTAAATAACATTTTATTGCATCAAACATCATCAGTAGATCAACAACACATCAGCAGTGCATGTCATGTGGTACAATAAAAGTTCATAGGTATTTGTTCCAAGGTCACTTTTCATAGCCATAGGGGAGAGTTTCCCTGGGGACTCCTTGTGGATTGTACTGGACTCGTCGTTTGGTGTAGACCAAGCGATAGCTTTTGGTGGTGTCCTTGGACAGCAACGTGCTGCCCTGACGAAGTCCTCCGATGCGGTGTGGGTACGGTACAGTGATGCTGGCTTGATCCCTCTGACAGACGAGGTTCTTCATGCTGTCAAAGTTGACATGTTGGCTCGCCCTGTGATTCCGACTAAATCCTCGGAGTTTGCTGATGCCCACACTGTTGTCATATTGAGGATGACGCAGCTTGTAGGCATATTTCTTGGGTCCTGCTGAGACAAAGGTTTCAATGCTGTTGTTCCCTCCCGGTTCATCAGTCAGCTCCCCCAAGGTATCTTCCAGTGGAGGGTTGTAACTTAGTGGACGGTGGATGTAGATGATACTGTCCGTATCAAAATAGAGTACACGACGATCCAAATAAGAATACAGCTTGAGACGTGCCTGTGCTGTCACCCAGGCTGCAATGGCCACATTGTGGGCTGGATGGGGGTCTTGAAATTCTGTCTGAGGTTCATGAGTGACACAGATGAGGTCTTCATTGATGATGTTTATGGCTTTCACAACACATCGCTCATCCCGGAGGAGGGTAAACTAGCTCTGTGGGGAACTGATGTATTCCGTCTTGGCAAACCCAACGTGATGACCAAACTTGCCCAAGTGGTTGTTCAGGCAGGCTTTTGCCAAGGCACGTAGTCCAGGGTTTTTGCGAATGTGAGCGGGATCCAAGGTGACACCTTCTTTTTGCTAAATCTCGTTGATGTGGGCGTCTGGGTCTGGACAGCCTTCTGGATATCCACTGGCCTCTTGCTTGATCTTGACGAAATTGTCTACATACTTGGCAAACAACCCTCCCTCTTGAGTGTCAGGGTCGTGGGTGGTGAGTGTGTCCAAGTGCCAAGCTTCAAAGACGTGAAGCACTTGATAGTCACACTCTCGACCGGCATATTGAAGCTCCTTGCTGACGTAGGTACCGATCCATGCCCGGTCTTCATCCCCGTGGGGGCAGGAAGCATCCAACTGCTCTTCAGCACAAGTATGGCACAGAGGAAATAACAAATTACCCTGGACATGGTAAGGAAGAACAAGATGATAGAGGTCGGTGGTGGCAATACGCGGCACTGGATCAGGCCGTGGAGCTCAACCAAGTCACTCACAGGAGGATGATCTTTGTTGACGGGATGTCCCACGGGGAAAGTGCCATACTTGCAGATGTAAGGGTACAGCGAGCAAACATCTACATATTTGATTTCTTCATCTTCTTTGGCTTCATAGTACAACTTGGTGGCGTTTGTACGTCCTCCAAGTAAGGCATCTCTGGGATCCAGTGGGTCAAGCATGTAGGCATGGGGTCCTTGCAGTGTGGTCAGGAATGGTCACCATTGTCTTTCTGTGGTTTCAGAAAATCATATTCCCAGAGGGTCACCACTTGGTCAATGTCGGGATGTTAACGTAACACAGCCAGTCGGTACATCGTATGATAGTATCATTCCCAAAGTGCTGTACCCAAGCTAGCATGGGGTTCACATCGGCCCGTCTTGTAACAGCGAGTACATCCATGCCAGAAACAACCCAAGTATTCATACACGGTGCGTGTCCTAGCGTCGTAGCCATCCACCATGTAGTGAGTGCCATCAGAACAGTCAAAGCCTACTTCTCCACCATTACGAACATGTTGGATGTTCAGGTCGGGGTGTTGATGCATGATCCGGTGAGCCAGTGGAGACACTGAAGAGAGTAGCGGCGCTGTGGACGATAACCTCGAGTAGGTATGATGGCGATGGTTCCGGGTTCCAAAAACTGTTTTCGGAAGGTGAGCATGCAAGCCATGGACGATTCCAGCAGTACCTCCTCCAGTGGACCACCATAACCACAATAAATACCATGCCTCGGAGATCTCTCGCAAGCCAATGCCAACGGCCCTTTTCAGGGCCACCCATCCCGCTCAAAAGAAAGCTGAGTTACAAAAAAAAGCTTTAACAACACACTTATCTAGGCCTACATCGTCGTCACCGCACGCCATCGTCCACTCACCCTCCCTCCCTCGCTTCCCTCTCTCCCCTCCCTCTCTCTCCTTGGATCCGTCCGTTCCGTCCGTCCGCCATCTTGAAATGCGTCTACTCTCGCGAGATTCCGCGAGATCCCACCGGATGAACCGCCATCTTGAACAGGGCGTCCACTGGGCGCGGATTCGACGTCCTCGTGATGCGCGCGCGCACCGGAACCGGAAGTGGCGGCCTTACCGGAACCGGATCCAGAGTTACCTCACCTTACTGGAAGTGCCGCCATCTTGGGTCACGTGACCGGAAGTGACGCCATCTTGAAAATGATCCCAGGTTGACATGGTACACTACTGGACTATTACCGTTCTCCTATCATAATTTGAGGCATACCAGACGACTCCTCAATAACTTGGGGCTCCGACAGTGATATTTGCCTGATGTCTGGTCTGAATACCATCTAAAAACAGCCCATTTTGAGCCAGTAGGGATTATTCCCGACGACTCCTGACTCCTCAATAAACTGGGGCTCCTACACTGATATTTGCCTGATGTCTGGTCTGAATACCATCTAAACACATCCCATATTGAGCCAGTCGGGACTGAATTAACTGGGGCTCATTTGAAATGAGTATCTGTACTTTATAGTATCTGTACTTTACTGGGAAAGTGAATTCCCAAATGTAACATCCCTTAGAAATCATCTGAATATTTTTAGTTAATCTTATTCTTGAAATGTGTGCCATCTCTTCCTTGTCCTTTGCTGCTGTATTTTCTGCATGTTCATCATTTTTGTTCTCAGCTGAACACATGAGCATTCGTGCTTGGAAATCTGTAGAAATGCCTGAATGGTCTCCTTTTCTGAAATATAACAGAGTTCTCAAAATCATGTACAATTCTAGTAAGTATCATCACTCAGCGTCTAGTCCTATAGTCTTTACCCAACTCCCCAACTTAAGGTTCTATTAGGACAAGTAAACATTTGCCATTTTAAAGATTTTGCTAATTTGTTATCAGTATGAGGACTTGTGGCCGAAATATACTATTCACACTTTGCTAAGGATCAAATCATTGATTCAACAGAAAACGATTATGTGGGATCTAATTTGGTTTAAATATCTAATCGTATTGTAAGTATGGATCCTAGGTTTCAGTATGTCATTGCATCTTGTGGATTCCATACCTGCTATTGACAGGTGTTGTATACTTATAAATGACTCGTTCCATGATTTCCAAAATGGTTGATTGGTTCCATTAAAACCATTTTTATGGTTACTCATGTATCAAGTGCATAAGGTTAGATTAAACTAGATGTTTTCCTAAAGAATGGGTTACTATACTATTACTGATCCAGTTTTTAATATATACAATTTCAAATTATAAATATGCTTAAGTAAAGTTGGGAATTTTTTATCCTTAGCAAAGTGTGAGTAGTATATGTTAGTTTCTAATCACTGCAATATTCAATATAACAACATATAGTCCTTAAATTAAGTTTGCTATAAGGTAGAATAGAAATAGTTCTATAAAGATGGAGCCTTGAGTATTGAGGAAACTTTATATCTCGTAACATGGCTGATAATCGAAAGGGAGTGACTGCCACTGTCTATGAGAGAAATGAGGGTCAACACTAGTAGTGAGTTTAGTTTTAGGCCGCTTTAGCTATATTCCAGCAAAGGTAGGGGAGGCACCCGTGAAGAGCCACCTCCTTGTGGTGGGTTCTGGGTAACGCTAAGCGCTCTTCAACCCCCCGTTGTGGACCCGGGGGTATATTTGGTCCACCAACCCGTTTGCCGTGGGTTGCGCCTCTGTGTCGGTGGAGGACGGGAGTCTGGTGGTTGAGGGCACTGGGAGCCTGGGGCTCGTAACTCGAAGCAGTCGTTAAATCTGCCCTAACGCATGGTTAACGAACGCTTTAGTAACGTCGTTAAACACATTAAGTAGTGTATCGCAAAGCATTCGCTAAACAATCCATAAGCGTTCGTTAGGCGTTCCTTAAAAAAGAGTAACTCTAAATATAGACGGCTTAAGGCAAGGTTACAGACACTGGGATTCCCCATGAACGTTCTACTATTTTATTTCAAATTGTTGTGACATGCATTACTTTGCATGAATATCAGTTTTGAAAAAAGAATTTCAACTGTTAAAACCATATAATGAAATCATGACAAATGAAATATTTTGAAAGCAGGTCTTTTTATTCGCAATATTATACATGTTGAATTTTGTTTTACACGTTGAACTTTCATTTCCTATAACATATTGCTACAATTTAATTGTTTGGAACTCCAAAACCATTTCTTTTTTGTTGATTTCAACGAATCAAGAAGTCATCATCATCCTCATCTTCATCGTCATCGTCTTCATCGTCATCAAGTTCATCTTGAAGTAGTAGGCCATTTGCACTGCAAATATTGTGCAGCGTTGCCGTTGCAACTATTATTTTGCAACATTTTGAAGGTTTAAACACCATGCTTCCTCCAGATTTGTGAAGACAACGAAATCTCATCTTCCAAACACCGGTTGTCCTTTCACTTGTGTTTCGGGTTTTACGCTGAGAGATGTTATACCATTTGGTATAGGAGCTATCATCCATGGAGCATATGCGTACCCACTGTTTCCTAGCAACCAACCATCTCCCACCAAGCCTTGTTCAAATGAATGGTTCAGGTTGCACATATTCCAAATATGAGAATATGTTTGTGATTTGCAGTTGAGCCCAATTCACAATTTGAACATTTATGCCATAATATGCTTTCCTAGACACAAACAAATGTTCATCTTTTGTTGGCGCTTTGATTGGGATTATGGAACGGTCTATAGATCAAAGCACATTTGGAAAGTCAGCTATTTGGTTGAAATCAGCTTTCATTTTCTGTTTTTCAACTTTGGGGACAATGAAAATACTCATTGGCATGTTTACACGTTGTTTGATGTTGAGACGTTGTGGATACATCTTGAAGCTGCCATTTTTTTACAAACCTTGTACATCTTCATAAATGGACAAGAAATTCCCAGTTGCAAAATAATGAAGCGCTGTCACCGCTTGTAGTGATACACTTAGGGATTTTGACCGACATGTAGGACGTGCAACATCATCTCTGATTAAATCACACAATTAAACAATCTTTGGTCTGTCGAGCCTGAATCTTGCTTGTATTTCGCCATCACTCAAAGTCGCGGAAGACACGGTTGACATGCTATGGATTCTTCGTTTGTTCCCATTTCTCACGTACAGATAAATTGCCATTTTAAAACTTTGATATGGATTACGACCAGTTAAAGACTGCTTAAAGGTTGGTCAGGGGTACACCTTAAACACAGTCGCTAACTTGCTTTTTAAGGATTGTCCTAACTTTAAGGAACACTTCGAGTTACACAACCATAAAATAATGTCTGCTTAACGATTATCCTTAATTAAAGACAATCTAGCGACTGCTTCGAGTTACGAGCCCCTGGAACCGTGTTCCTTTTGCCCAACACACCACTTCGCCCCTTACTTCACCTAGACGGGTGGTAGAACTGGCCCGGTTCTACCAATCAGCTGATCACGCCATGCCCTGCGCATGGAAACATTCAAATTTAAATTTCTGTACATTTCTATGTTTCTATTGAATGTTGTCATTTAATTTTATATGGTACTTGTTGCCCAGTGTCCTATGCCAGAAGGCGGTGGCTCATGGGCCAATCTGGTGATGCTGACCGCCAAATTCAATAGGTATCCAATTTCTTGCCATTGGCAGAACCACCCTGGCATATATTTTGATATACAAATGTTGCTATTTGTGTCATACTCACTGGAGTATACCATCCCTGTATCCCTGGTGTCAGAATCTAGAATATCCGATGCTATTTGACACCGTCCTTGTTGACACTCCATGGTGGGTGGGGTGCAAAGATGCTGAATTAGTTTTCTTTCATCATGGCACACCAACAAGCTGGTTCATCTCGTCACGAAAAGAAAAGACGTCTTGACGAAATAGATCACTCTACTGAACAAATTAAAAAAAACGTTGCTCATGGGCTCGGTTTCTGGTAATAGAAGCTGCAGATTTTCTTCCAACTAAACTCAACCCTTTTGCCATTTCAAAAGCTATTTCTGGTATTTGCGGGGAGGTAAAAAATGTTACTCGTCTCCGTAGTGGCTCACTTTTGGTGGAATGTTTATGGAGAATACAATCTCTAAATTTGTTATCTATCAAAACATTTGCAAATATAGAGGTTGCTGTCTCCATACACAGAACGTTGAACTCTTGTCGTGGCATCATCCGCGACAAGACACGGTGCCTCACAGATATGTCTGAGGAGGACATTGCCTTAGAATTACAGGATCAAGGCGTTTCAGCAGTGAAACGTTACACCTTTAAGAAGGAGGGCATCATCACAGAAACCAACACGTACCTCTTGACCTTTTCTCATTCATCTCTGCCAACATCGATCAAAGCAGGTTACTTCAATACCCTCACGTGACAGCAGTCGAGAGGATGAAGCACAGGCTCCACCTACGAGGACTCCTGATGAATAGGGGGTGGTCAAGGCCCGCAGCAACCTACCTCAACAGCTGATAGCATATCAGATGAGTACTCACTTACACATTTTTTAGAGGTTCTCTCTTGGAACATCAACGGTATAGCCTCTAAATTAGAGGATACAGATTTCATTTCCTATTTGATTAGGTTTCAAATATTTTTTTCTGTATGAGACGTTTAGTGACAGCATCATTGCACAATACATAGCGAAAGCAATGAAAACGGCCACGTATGGGAGATTGTCGGGAGGAGTATTTGCTTTCATACATAACAGCGTATCCCAGTTCTGCACTTTACTGAAGATGAATATCGATAATCTAATTGCCTTTCGTATTTCAAAACAGATATTGCAAAGTAAAAAAGATGTTATTATCATAGCGTCGCCTGAGAACCAGAGTGTTCTATCTCACCAAAACTTGGTTTCGAGATACGGAGTCCCAAAGATTGAAGTATGTGTAAAATGAATATTTCCCAAGGAAACTGTTTGTAACTTTGCATGTAGGTGCATGTTGTGATTGTGAAATTATACAACCATGTTTTAATGATCCCAAATTTAGATTTAACCTATAAATAAGAAAAAGGTGTTTGGAAATAGAACAAATATCTAAAATCAAACGCTGTTTTGTTCAGTTCCAAAGTGTCCTATATCCATAAAATACTGAAATAGCTCCGAAAATGTACGTATATATCTTAATATTTTGAATTTTCTTATTAAAAAAAACACAGAAATAAGACAAGAATTAGGAAAATACCTTTATTTTCAAAACAACACTTTCAGTAATGCTATTTTTCTGATTTCCATGCATGAGTGCATAGGCCTGAAACCGACAAGCTATTTAAACCAAAAGTATACTGGTCATTGATATTTTATGGTGATTTCCTTTAAACATATAGGAATATATAAGAACTCGGTGAACAGGGAACATTTAGCAAACGTCAAACAATTATGAACAGTCAAGAACTAGTACAGCAAAGTAAAAATATTGATATTGAGAATCAAACTTAGATTGTAATGTATAATTCAGACTGGATGTGCTGATTATCATCTTATTGATTAATTGGATGTAGCCATGTGTTTATGATAAGAGCTATCCCTAATAAATCAACATCAAATAATCTCTTAAAAGTTTCAAAACTTGGAACAGGTATAAAGTACTTTGCCGTATGGAACTAGAACAATGAACTCACTAAACACATCAGACACAAATTGATGTCATGAATCACTGTTGTATTGTTTAAGTAAGGACACTCAGTTTTGTGATATCAAAAACAAACAATCTCTTAAACAACTTCAAAACTTGAAACAGGTTTAAAAGACTTTACCATTGAGTTACAAGACATACCAGACATGTCCCTAAAGCATGAACATCAAACATGTTTTTGAATGAATTTATCTTATGAGATCTGTTGAGGTTATGAATTTCAACATAGATCTGAGGTCTGCAGCTTTGTCCTTGGGCAGTTCATGTTTTGTGGGACAGGGTTTGACTGTCGGCCAATTTTCAACACAAACTCCTCTAGGTGGAGACGACATCCTCCTCATATCCTGTTTTTGAGGACAAAATGAGACACGACTGAGTTCAGCAAGAATAGCACAAAGAGCACTTGCTATTTCATTGGTTCCTTTTCCTGCGAGTTTCTCATGCCAAACTGCACAGTATGCAGTAGGTCCTATCGTACTATGTGCCGTAAGGTTGTACACAGCAAGTTTTCTGCGGTAAAAGAAGCTTGATATATTCGCTCTAGGACAAGTGAAACGTTGTCGGGATCTTGAGGGCTCAATCAACTCTTCATGATCTGCAGGATTTGATTCATTTATGTGTGGAGTCGAAACTTCAACAATTTGAGAAACGTGAATTTCTTTTGTTTGGATTGATGGATTACATGCATTCTTGGTCTCATCAGAAGACACTGCATTGCCAACATTGCCCATATTAATGACCGGTTGTACCTTATAAACATTATCATTATCATCAGAATCATGATCTTCATTTTCTGTTACCAACGCTAGAACTTGATCCAGTTCAAGAATTTCAGACATGTATTGGCAATCAACAAATTTCTGTTCAATATAGTAATTAAAGTCCGCTTCACTGAAGGAATCGTCCAGACTCAGGCCAAAAAATGTCAGGGAATAGAAATAAGCAATGCTTAACAATTCAATGCAGTTATCCAAATTGAATTTGACTCCAAATGCTTCCAAATTGAAACAACTCTTTGTCTTTTGAAATATTTCTGTTAAGGTGTTCGGACTGACATGAGTGAAGCTCACATTCAGATGTTCCAGGTTTTCACATGCTTTGATGATGATAAAATCTTCATCACATAGATATTTGCAGTGTTCATCATTAAACAGTTCAAGTTTGGGCAAACTCCAAGAGTAGAAATCCAAGAGTAGAAACGTTCATCTCTCTTATGTTTAACCATCGTAGTTTGTCAGCTTGAAGAAATCCTGTTATGAAAATATAATAAGTGCCGGACACTGGGCCTTCAACTTCCGTAAAAGGTATCTGTAAATACCAAAAGTAATGGGACCGAGAGAGGAGACCATGCAACTGTTTAAATGTTAATTTCAGGCCATAGAATTCTGTGTCTTTCCAAATCTTTTGTGAATTCAGGATAAGATGATGCAGTATTGGCACACATTCAATAGTATTTCTTTGAAAGGTACATAGCTTAGAATGCCAATGATGATTTCCTCAGGTAACCTTGGTAACATTTCACTGCATCAGGAACACTGAAAAGATGAAAAATATGTGATATTGAAAAACGTTTTATGTCCAACAAACATAGTAGGAAAACATGACATACTCCATGTCAAACTTCAAATAGTGCCTTTACTCCAAAATTATCAATTGTTACATTTCAAATTAATATATTGGGATGTCAAGGGTTAATTATCACTTACTGTACACTTGCATCCATTCGAGAAAACAAGAGTTACAATGAAAAAGTGAAGATAAATACTCACCATTTCCATGTGACATCCGACGAAAGTTCAGGTCCAGATTGTCCTATCTCAAAGTCATGTGAACAAATCGACCGTTTTGATTAGTTAGGGACATAGAACAGTATGGAACTGAAAACCTTTTTAATTTGTGGAGATAGAACTGATGTTAATTGTCTGAAAACCACTTTCTAAGCTAAATACAGCTACAAAATTTTATTTGGAGATAGAATACACCATGAGAATTACCCAGAAAATCTTAACTCATTTTCCAAAAAGTGGAGATAGAACACTCTGGTTCTCAGGTGACGATAGGTCTCTACATACCACCCGAGGGGTCGACATACTAGGTGTGGGAAACCAACAAGTATAGAACTACTTGATCAGTGGTTCTCAGAAAACCTGGATATGCTTTCTGACTGTCATATAGTTATCACCGGTGATCTGAACTCCAGGGTTGGGACAGGCAATGAACCACCTGAACCACAACCGAACTTTCTGGGAGGTGTGTTTTCTGACGAATTGTTAGTGCCTCTGCAGACAATTTTGTGATAAGTCAATCGATAGATTGGTAGAATGCTAATGGAAATGTGTTATACGTACAAGTTGTATATTTTAAATGGTCGTGTGCAAGGAGATAAAATTGGCGAGTTTACGTTCATATCTAGCCAGGGTTCTTTGGTAAATGATTATTGCATTGCCAATATTGATGCGTTTGAACTGATTGAATCGTTTCATGTAGAGGCCCGAGTAAAATCAGATCATATGCCATTAACGGCAAAACTTAAACTTTATGAGCAAAGCCACCAGCTAGAAAATAATGATAATACTGACAGAAACTGCTCTGACAGAATTGTATGGATCAATACTAAGTCAGACGTGTACACCGACAGCATAAACCAGCTTGCTGACACCTTTGTTGAAGCAACGAGATTAGTTGATACAGATGTTGACCACGCTCTAGACTTGTTTGTACAAACAGTACTTGGTGCAGCGGACTGTATGAAAAAAACGTAACAAAAAGTGTATTTCAAATGGGTTTTTGATAAATATTGTAAAAGTAAAAAATACTTCACTCGCAAAGCCTTGCCTCGATTCCAAAGAAATATATCTGAGGAAAACCGACGTAGTTATTGCAAACAGAGGAATTTATATAAGGGTATCTGTAAGCGCACAAAGCTCTCGTATGAGCGCAACAAAGCTGAAGCATTAAAGCAAGCAACCAGTAACCCAAAGACGTGTTGGCGTATCCTCAGAGGTATATCTCCTTTGCACCGACCTCGTCCGAATATCAGTAATGATGCATGGTTTAACCACTTTAGTAGCCTGTTTGCAACTTATGATGCACCAATGATTGACCACTTTGGCTCTACGGAAGAACCAGACTTAGATGAAGTTGATTCACTTATCCTAGAATCACATATTACTTCGTCTGAAGTTAGTGATGCTATAAAACATATAGATAATGGTAAGGCAGCTGGCACAGATATAATACAAATTGAAATTATCAAAACCACTTCCTCATATTTCATGCCTTTTCTCGCTACACTTTTCAATAAAATATATGATTCGGGAAAATTTCCTACAAGCTGGACAAAGTCTATCATTGTCCCAATACACAAAAAGGTGATAGAAATAACCCAGACAACTACAGGGGCATATCATTGTTAAGCGTCTTGAGCAAAATCTATACTGGTGTGCTCAATAATAGACTGAAAGTCTGGACAGAGCTAAAAGATAAAGTTCCAGAAACACAGGCAGGCTTCCGATCTGGTTATTCAACCACAGATCACATATTCACGCTAAATTCTATTGTCGAAAAATGCTTTATGAAAAAACGAAAAAAGCTTTATATCGCCTTCATAGATTTCAGAAAGGCGTTTGATTATGTGAAAAGAAAAAAACTTTGGTTTTGGATGCATTCTAAGCCCGTTGTTATTCTCATTATTCATCAGTGAACTGTCAAACTCTGTAAATGAATGTGGTAGTCACGGCGTGCAATTATTCCCTGATTTATATGAACTATTCCTACTTCTATTTGCAGATAATGTCATCCTCGTATCTGAATCAATTCTCGGCCTTCAAAACCAGTTAAATATTCTTGAAACGTTTTCAGACAATTTGGGGTTAACTGTTAATCTTGATAACACACAAATTATTGTGTTCAGAAAAGGGGTCATTCTTTCGAATAAGGAAAAGTGGTTTTATAAAGGAAACCAAATCGCCACTGTAAATAGTTACAAGTATTTAGGTGCCTGGTTTTCAAGTAACTTAAAAATGACTAAATGCATTTCAGACTTGGCAAGCCGGGGTAAAAGAGCATTGATGGAAATCATTGTCAAGCTAAATACGATTGGATTGACCCGAAAATATATTTTTAAATCTTTGATTCTCAGGGGATTAGTATATGGCTGTGAGATTTGGGGAGTCAAACAATATGAATTATAGGAAAAGATGCATCTTCTAGCCTACAAACGGTTTTTAAGGGTAGGAAAACAAACTCCTAATACTATTGTATATGGCGAATGTGGTCGCTATCCAATATATATAAATGCTTACTTACAGCTTTTACGTTATTGGCTAACATTGCTCAAAATGAGCGAGTGTAGATTACCCAAGAAAGTGTATTACATTTTAAGATAGTTTGATGACATTGGAAAAAAGAGTTGGGTATCGTTCATACAAAAGTATTTTGTTTTCTCATGGCTTTGGATGTATCTGGATGGTGATGAACTTTCTTTTGTACAATTGTTTAAAACGTCATGGCTAAATGAATTTTCTCAAAGTTGGACTTCCACTTTAAATAACACCTCGAGATATGTGATGTATAGAGAATATAAGTTCATATTTGAACCAGAAAGATACCTGTATATCATATTAGAAAAAAGGTGTGCTCTACTTACACAAAATTCAGATGCAATGTCTTGCCACTACGTTATAATGAAGGTAGGTGGCAATCAATCGAATCTGGTTTACGTTTGTGTCCCATTTGCAACACCTCTGTAGAGGATGAGTATCATTTCACACTTATATGCCAATTGTACAATGAATTGAGAATAATTTTTCTTCCGGAACACTTTTGGAAATTCCCTTCTATCCATAAATTTAAAAGGCTGATATGTACATTTCATGAGAATTTAATCAGACGTGTACAGTATTACATTTACCATGCATATATAAAAGAAATAGGTATTTAGAAACACTTTAGACTTCATTTGTATGCTCTTGTTAACTATGTATAGTTATATCTTGTATATGGGCCCTTGGCCTCGTTACAAATAAACTCCTTTTGACTTGACTTTTGAGTGGAAGTCTATGTACCAGGTCCACTCAGATGTTATAAATGTCAGCATTTTGGCCATAGATCTCAGTCTTGCCGTAACACCGTGGTATGTCATCGTTGTGGTGACCACCACGACGGTTCCGATTGTGAAAAAGAATACAAGTGCGCTAAATGTGATGGCGCACATCCTGCTTCATCTAAATCATCCCCTGTGTGGCAACGAGAATCTCAAATTATGAAACTCAAGTGTGAGAATAATGTTTCATACCTGGATGCCAAAAATCTTTTAACAAGTCAAGTTTCAACTCCTCCAAACTTAACCTAGGCTGCCGCAGTCAATCGTTCTGCGGCGGTGTCCTCTACTGGCTGTCAGACTGTCTTGACTTGGGTCAAGTCAACAAAACCTATTTCATCGGCTTCAATTCTTAAGCCTATAGCCCCTGTCACGCATTCTACGTCTGAGTCTCAGACAGATGATACTGAATCTGAGACACCATCACAAAGTTCTGTCTCGGAACCAGCTGTGCATAAGTCAAAAAGAAGAAAGGGAAGAAGATTACCAGAGCCAAATCACCAGTTGTCACTTCACCTCCAGAGGTACCTCTTGAACACTCATTTGGACCTCTGGATATGGAGATTACGCCGTCCTCACGGGACAGGCGGAGGAGCTGATCCTCCGCACATTCACGAAAGAGATCACCGATTCAGTCGTCATGACACAATTGTCTACTATAATGCAATGGAATTGCAGAGGACTGAAAAATAACTTCAATGAGATACAGTTACTGATACAAGATCTACAGCCATCAGCAATATGTCTCCAAGAGACATATCTACAAGCTACAGATATCTTTACTTTACGACGGTACAGCGATTTTCTCCTCCAGGAGATAAAGCAACTGGATGTGCTTCTATCTTAGTGCGGCAGGGTATTATACATAGCCCTGTCCCCCTTAATACCAATCTTCAGACTGAAGCTGGCCGACTGACCTTGCACATTGCATTGACTCGGTGCAGCTTGTATATCCCTCCGTCTTCTCACATCCGACAGTCGGATCTTCAAAAACTATTTGATCAGCTTCCAAAGCCATTTATCATCATGGGCGACCTCAACGGACACAATCCGCTTTTGGGAAGTGCCCACACTAATAATCAAGGTAAAATACTTGAGGAATTCATTTCCGATAATAATGTATGTATTTTTAATAATGGTTCAGCCGATTATCTACATCCAGCTACCGGAACATATTCTTCCCTGGATCTGTCACTCACCGATTCGAACTTATATACTATATTTGAATGGATGGTTCATGATGACCTGTGCGGGAGTGATCACTTCCCCAAAACAATCAACCCTGGTGATGATCCACCTATATCACGACGGAACTTCGCCAGGGCTGACTGGTCATTATATAAGACACTATGTACCGATCACTTAAAACATGACATTTTTGCGAACAGCGAAGATCCTATACAGTTATTTTCAGATCTACTGAACAACATTGCTGACCAAATTGTACCCAAGTCCTCTGCAATTCCCCACATTCGTAAGCCATGGTTCAATAATGAATGTAAACAGGCCAGAAAGTGTAGGAAGAAAGCGGAAGAGTATTTTCGCCGACACCCTACTGTCCATAATCTAGACATGGTTAAAATTTTAAATGCCAAGGCTAGACGTGCTTTTAAAAAAAATAAGCGTCAGTCTTGACGAAATTATGTATCTAAAATAAATTCACGTACGCCTATGTCAAAGGTGTGGAACATGATTCAAAGAAAGGACAAAGGTTCTAAATCTACTGTTCACCATCTGAAGGATGGTGATAATTTATTAACAAACAAAACTGACATTGCTAACAAACTTGGTGAAACTCTCGCCAAGCATTCATCTTCATCAAATTATGTCCCTGAGTTTCAAAAGTTTCAGAAACAACAGGTGAAGAAAATATTAAATTTTAACTCAGACAATGGTGAAGACTATAGCGAATTATTTTCGTTACATGAGCTCCATACTGCCCTTGAGCAAGCTCATGATACAGCAACAGGGGCTGATGATATCCACTATCAGCTCCTAAAGCATTTGCCCGAGTCATGATTGGAAACGCTGCTAAATATATTTGATATGATATGGACTACAGGGAATTTCCCAACTTCGTGGCGTAATGTCATTGTTGTCCCTATTCCAAAGCCTGGCCGGGATCATACAGATCCGTCTAATTACAGATCAATATCTTTAACGAGTTGTGTCTTTAAAACCATGGAACGAATGGTAAACAATGAGAGATAAGTATATATGTGGCTTTGTTATAATTCTAGTGAATGCCATAACATTTACATATGGCAGAGAGATAAGTACATATGTGGCGGTGTTATAATTCTAGAGAATGCCATAACATTTACAAATGACAGAGAGATAAGTATATATGTGGCGGTGTTGTAATTCTAGAGAATGCCATAACATTTACATATGTCAGAGAGAGAAGTATATATGTGGCGGTGTTATTATTCTAGAGAATGCCATAACATTTACCTATGGCAGAGAGATAAGTGTATATGTGGCGGTGTTATAATTCTAGTGAATGCCATAACGTTTACATATGGCAGAGAGATACATCTAGTGAATGCTATAAGAATATATATGTAACAGTTTCATAATTCAAGTGAATGCCATAACATTTACATATGGCAGAGACATAAGTACATATGTTGCGGTGTTATAATTCTAGAGAATGCCATAATATTTACATATAGCAGAGAAATAGGTATATATGTGGCGGTGTTTTAATTCTAGTGAATGTCATAACATATGCATATGGCAGAGAGATACTTCTAGTGAATGCTATAAGAATGTATATGTAACAGTTTCATAATTCTAGTGAATGCCATAACATTTACATATGGCAGAGAGATAAGTATATATGTGGCGGTGTTATAATTCTAATGAATGCCATAACCCTTACATATGGCAGAGAGAAAACTATATATGGGGCGCTGTTATAATTCTAGAGAATACCATAACATTTACATATGGCAGAGAGATAATTCTAGTGAATGCTATAAGTATACATATTTGGCAGTTTCATAATTCTAGTGAATGCCATAACATTTACATATGGCAGAGAAATAAGTATATATATGGCGGTCTTGTAATTCTAGAGAATGCCATAACATTTACATATGGCAGAGATATACTTCTAGTGAATGCTATAAGTATATATATGTAACAGTTTCATAATTCTAGTTAATCGCATAACATTTACATATGGCAGAGAGATAATTCTAGTGAATGCTATAAGTTTATTTAAGTGGCAGTTTCATACTTCTAGTGAATGCCATAACATTTACATATGGCAGAGAGATAAGTATATATGTGTCAGTTTCATAATTCTAGAGAATGCCATAACATTTACATATGGCAGAGAGATACTTCTAGTGAATGCTATAAGTTTATTTATGTGGCAGTTTCATAATTCTAGTGAATGCCATAACATTTACATATGGCAGAGAGATAAGTATATATGTGTCAGTTTCATAATTCTAGAGAATGCCATAACATTTACATATGGCAGAGAGAAACTTCTAGTGAATGCTATAAGTATATAAATGTAACAGTTTCATAATTCTAGTTAATCGCATAACATTTACATATGGCAGAGAGATACTTCTAGAGAATGCTAGAAGTTTTTTTATGTGGCAGTTTCATAATTCTAGAGACTGCCATAACATTAACATATGTCAGAGAGGTAAATATATATGTGGCAGTTTCATAATTCTAGTGAAAGTCAGAACATTTACCTCTGGCAGAGCGATAGCAATATATGTGGCGGAGATATAATTCTAGAGAATGCCACAACATTTACATATGGCACTGATATACTTCTAGTGAATGCTATAAGTATACATATTCGGCAGTTTCATAATTCTAGGGAATGCCATAACATTTACATCTGTCTTAGAGATAAGTATGTATGTGGTGGTGTTATAATTCTAGTGAATGCCATAACATTTACATATGACAGAGAGATAAGTATATATGTAGTGGTGTTATAATTCTAGTGAATGCCATAACATTTACATATGGCAGAGAGAAAACTATATATGTGGCACTGTTATAATTCTAGAGAATACCGTAACATTTACATATGGCAGAGAGATAATTCTAGTGAATGCTATAAGTATACATATTTGGCAGTTTCATAATTATAGTGAATGCCATAACATTTACATATGGCAGAGAGATAAGTATATATATGGCGGTGTTGTAATTCTAGTGAATGCCATAACATTTACATATGGCAGAGAGATAATTCTAGTGAATGCTATAAATATATATATGTAACAGTTTCATAAT